TTAATTTATTCCAACTGCCAGAAACACAACTCAGATCCAACTGTTCTTTTATAAACTAATGAGTTTTGTATTATCATATCTGTCTCACGGCTAAAATTTTAAAAGTGTCTGTCTGTATGCTTATATACATTTATATATGAATGTTATAGATGTGTGATTTTTCTACCTCCAGATGGTATTGACAAAATTAATTTGTAAAAGAGCTCTATTTAACTGGCTTAAAGAAAACTAAGCACTTATATAAATTAAATATTCTCTCATGAATATAGAAATTAACCCAAATGTTCTTCAAGTTTGTGTGATCTGGGATAATCTTTGCTGAATAAAAGCTAGTCTAAGTTTGTTGGTTTAATTAAAACAGGCATGTCTTCAGAGTTATCAACATTAAATTTAATGCAGACCTATAACTTTAATTCTACCCAGGTTTACTAGTCATATAATCTCATGTTATGGCTATTACACAGCATTTCAGGAAGAAAAATAATTTGAAATGATGGTTAGCTCTTTAATGTCTTGTGAAATTTTCATAAATAATCTAAACATAATTGTTAAGAACAAGTGAATTGAATAGATATAAGTAAAAGTTTATAAATGAACTTTTCAACAATAATTATGTTTTATGTATCTCTACTTAAAAATTGTGTCAAGAGTCTTAAATGTGTGTTCATAGCCATCAGATGGTCTCACTGAGCTCAGAGAAACAGAACAAGGTGAACAACGAGATGAACAGAAGAAACCTTCCACAAACCTGACATCATGACCTGTGAGTTTCACAGTGAGACAAGAACAACGTAACCCTGATGGTGACTGAGAGTGGCACTAGTGCCAAATTTTTGGTCAATCGCTCATGTATGAGAGGATGGCCAAATGGGGAAATTGTTAAAGTCATTAAGGAGGCCCTTAAACTGAGATGGCTCTAATGCCTTGGTCGCCTATGTAACCCAGGGTCAATTCCTGAAATGCACTTATATCCTAGAAAATGAAACTAAAACAATCACAAACAGCCAACTAACCTTTCCCAAATTAGGTAACTGCTTAAGCTATAGCCAATCAAATAATTTCCTTGCTTTGCTTCCACATCAGCTCTATAAAAGCTTTTTCCTGAGCTCCTGTTAATGGAGCACTTTCAGTTTGGTGCTGTCCAATTCAAATTGATGTTTGCTCAAATAAACTCTTGAAATTTTTAATGTGCCTCAGTTTATCTTTTAACACTATGATCTGAATGTTTGTGTTGCTCTCAAAATACATGTATTGAAGCCCTAAACCCAAGTGTGATGGTAGTTGGAAATTGGGCCTTTAGAAGGTAATTAGGGTTAGATGAGGTCATGAGGGTGGGCCCTCAGGATTAGTGCCCTTGTAAGAAGAGACACCAGAGAGAGAGCCCTCTCTCTCAACATGCACAAGCACTGAGGAAAAGCCATGCAAGAATACAGCAAGAAGGTGGCTGTCTGCAAGCCAGGAAGAGAGCTCTCACCAGAACCTGACCATGCTGGCACCCCGTCCTCAGACTGTTAGCCTCCAGAACTGTGAGAAAATAAATTTCTGTTGGTTAACCCACACAGTCTATGGTATTTTGTTACGGCAGCCCGAGCAGACTATTACACAATATAAATGAAGCCACTTAATCACACCACCAGAACAAAGTATGAATAAACATCATTGACAACAGAGAGACACTAAAACTCCTGTGAACAGGTACAAAATGCGAAAGCAAGCATACTTAATCCCTCTCTTTCTCATTCAGTTGGAGACACATTTATTGAGTATCCGAAGTTTGACAGTCTCTCCAATTTTCTTTGAGGTTTCTTTGGAGTTGTTCAGAGTCAAGTTGAGGAGCACAGATATAGTCAGATAATTTCAGCAAGCGCAGTAGCAGGGATGCATCTAGAACTACTCTGTGCACCTGGAAGAGGAAGCTGATGCTGCTGCTCACCGAGAGGAGGGGGAGGTCAGGGGGCTCCATTTAAGGACTGACACTTGCACTAGTCCTAAGCAAGGCAGGCACATTAGGAAACAGGCAAAGGGCATTCCAGGCAAAAGGGAGAAAGATTGATTCTTAGATTCTGAATGAGTCCCTTTCCTTCTTTCTACTCTTAACCCACTTGAAAATGTTGTCATTTTTAACATGAAATAGTTTACTTCATGAGAAGTAAAATGCAGAGCATGTTTCTCTGCATAACCAAGCAAAGCTGGTGATCAGGTCTGCTCTGCACATCATCTTGCCTGTACCTCCCCAGCCGCAGACCTGTCATTATGCGGCAGGTCTCATCAGGTTCCAGAAAGAACTCCTCTTTTCAGAGGGGTGTGGAACAAAATCAGGAACAAGGCAGTGAGCAGAACGGGCTGCTACACCGGTCAGCTGGGATGGCTTTCTTCAAGCATCATGGTGTTACCAGATATCTATCTGGCACTAGGGAGAAGAGAAGAGGCAGGTGGTCCCCGCTGCTATTTCCCTTACCTGATCTCTTCAACACGTCTATCGGTGACCTCAGCTGGCATAATTACATGTTACAGCATATGCAAGGTATCCTCTGAGCTGTTTCGTAATTTCTTCATAATTGAGCTCCAGATTTACTACTTACAAATGACATAAGGGAAATAAGATAAAACTGTATTGACAGGAGAAAAATAATAGTAATAATTAATGTATTCATCAAATTAAGTCAATAGCCCCCATCTTTAAGAATTTTTTCACTAGAATAGGGTCATATTATATGTTTGGAGAAAATATACCACCTAGAAGTGATCAGAGGTGGAAAAATTATGAAATTTCAAAGGAATTTCTTAAGTTTGAAATATATGAAATGTTACAAACATCATCATTTCCAATATTTTCTTTCCAACTGTGAATTGAACTTACATTTGCCCATAGAAATAGAGGAGTTCTAGTCAAAGGAAATCCTATTCTAAAAAGATGATTTATCATGAAAAACATACTGCCTCCTAGTGAAGATTATGCTACCAGCCTACCTTCAGTTGTACAAGGACTTTAAGAAGTTTTTGCAGCTCATTGAATAAATTATTAGTTTAATGAAAGAACAGTTTTTCCATTCTCTTTCATACAATAGGCTTTTGCAAGAAACTGACCTACTTTGGCCTAACGGTAACTCTAAGTATTGACACCATGATGCTTTTACAAAGTACTCTAACCAACTATCCTAACAGCTTCTGACTGCACTGGTATTGCCAAAGCAGGTCTAACAGCAATCACACAAGATTTCACTCACTCACTATACCAGTGCCCTAAGTTCTTATGGCAACCAAGCTTCAGGATTTTCCAGGTAAGTTAATTGTATTACACTGCACCATTGGTGCCATAAGGACAATCTCCCACAATCTGAAATTTTAAAAATATGGCCACTGTAGTAGACAGCTTCTAAAATGGCTCTTAATGATCCCCACCTGCCAATAATTCATGCCCTTACCAAATCCTCTCTCCTTGAATGTGGGCTAGACCTACTGACTTTCTTCTAAGGAACAGAATACGGCAAAACGGACGTCACTTCCGAGATCAGGTTACAAAAGACTGTGACTTCTGTCTTGCTTGCATTCTCTCAGGTTCTCTCACTTGTTCACTGTGATGAAGCAGGCTGCCAAGTTGTGAGCTGCTCCAAGGAGAGGCCAACATGGCAGGAGCTGAGGGCTGCCTCCAGTCAACAACCAGCAAGGAATTGACGTCCTTAGTCCAATAGCTTTTAAATCCTGGCAACAACTATGTAAGTGAGCCTTGAGTGAGTTCGACTTTTGTCGACTCAAGTGTCAACTTTTGTGGACTTTTGTGCCTGGCTTCTCTCACTTGGCATAGAGTTTTCAAGGTTCATCCATGTGGTAGCATATGTCAGAATTTCATTCCATTTTATTGCTGAATAGTATTCCATTGGATGGACATACCTCCCTTTGTCTATCTATTCACCGTTTGATGGGCATGTGGGTTTTTTCCAATTATTGGACATTTGTATGCAAGTCTTTTTGTGATCACGTGTTTCACTTCTCTTGCTTTGGTAGATATCTAAGAGGGAATTGCTGGATCATGTGGTAACTCTATGTTAAACATTCTAAGGAACTGCCAAACTGTTTTCCAAACTGGTTGCCACATTTTACATTCCCACCAGCTTTGTATGCGAGTCCCAATTTCTCCACATACTCACTAACACATGTTATTGACTGTCTTTTTGAGTAAAGCCAACCTACCAGGTGTGAAGTGGTATCCCATTGTGATTTTGACTTGCCTTTCCCTAATGGCTAACAATGTTGAGCATCTTTCCATGGGTTTATTGGCCATTTGTATATCTCCTTTGGAGAAATACCTATTTAGACACCTCACTCATTTTTAGTTAGGTTTTTTTCATTTTCAGTTGTAAGAGCTCTTCATATATTCCGGGTACAAGTCATTTATTACGTGCATAAGATTTGTAATATTTTCTCATAAGAAAATCACTTTAATTCACTCTACATGGCATAAATAGAAAGTGTAATAATTCTTGGGCTTAAGTTTGGGTACGAGTTTAGCATACGTTTATAGCTACGAAGCTGACTGTTATTAAAGTGACCTCTTAAGAAACCTAGACAGATTAGGGGGACCATCTGCCTCTTGATTGCATAACCCAAGATTGTCAAGCACTATTCCCTATCACACAACTAGTAATACAGAATTTTGCAGAACAATCTATTTCCTTTATCATTATAGACTAGACAATATATCATTTCTTTCAGTTTTGATTTAGGATTAGAATTAGGAATACATTGCTACCTGTAGAGGGCAGTCATAATACACCCAGACAATCAGAATAGGAGGCTCTACCTGGAATAGAACACTAAGGATCTGCGGATAAGCTGCTGATCCAGAAAATAGATAATCCTTTTGCTTCCCTTGGTGTAACTTTCCAGGGAGGCCCTCAGCAGACTGAGAGATGGCCCAGCATCAGCCAAAAGAAGAGAAATAGAGTGGACCCGGAGCCAGTGTTAAAATCAGGCCACAGGACTTATTCGGAGCCCTTATTATGCCCCAGCTTTCCCAAGAGAACCAAGAGTGCCTCCAGAAACATTTCTCCAGGCCATCTATGTGGAAGCAATTTCTGCCCCTGCCTCAGGCTGAGGGATATAATGCAAACATTCAGCAAGCCATGGAAAATGAAGGTGGGACCAAGGCTGGGCATGATGTCCAGGTAAGACAATCTCCACAATCCATGATCCTTTCTTGACAAGGAAAGGGCTTATGCAGAACGAATATAAACCATAAGCAAGCTTTAGTGCCATTGCTCACTTTATCTCAGTGATGATATCTCAAAAATGTTTTCAAACCAACGCCAAGAGAAAAACTAGAACCTTGATGATAATTACCTGATCTGTCTAGCTTTCTCCAACCTAAACAGCTTCTCTTTACCAATACAAATGACTATTGAATTATTTTTGTTTGTTTCAGGGGGTAGTGTTTTAAAAAGCAGACGACCTAGACATAGATTTTTGTGGCAATTGCTAGTAACCGTTGAATGTTTTTCTCTGATATAAAGATTATATCCCATATAATAATGAAAGAAAAATTATAGACTGCTTTTTATAAAAATTGGTAGAGAAAAAAATTGATAAATCAATACAGAAACATAAGAACATTGAGGAGCTCAAGGGGTGTTTTTCCTAAATTCATGGTTTCCTAAGGTAGATTTCCTAAGCATGAATTTCCACCGCTAGATAATATTATTTTCCCAAAGAGTGACAATTTTCCTGCTCAGTGTTGTGTGTATCTTTGCAGAAAGTACAGTTTAAGTCTGTAAATCCTCTTAACTATTAATAGAACCATCTCTTAAAAGGTTATTTGGTGTGGAGGGGGACAGGCATGTGTTAATGTCTAACAAATAACGAGCAGAGCTTAGAATTAAATGCTGCAAAATCATACTACAGCAAACCCATCCAACTGCTGTAACACTAGAAAATTCATCTGTCCCTGTGCCACAGCTCATATCCTGATAATAATCATCATTTATTTGCAGACTTTCTATTTAATTCTCTGGATCTGCCCCTTCCCTGATGTTATTTTAACCAATTGGCACAGGAGAAAAAAAGTTTTAAAAAAAGTCATTAGGAAGCTTTTTCTGTAGAAATGTATTCACCTTTGTTTCTGAGCTTTCAGAGATCTGTGAACAAATAATACATGAATTTCCACACTCCCTATTATCACCTAAGCACTAGGTCTTTAGGAAACTAGAATGAAATGGGATATCGTGGCCAGAAGTCCTTAATTAATGGGAATCTAAATCTAGGCGACACGTGCAAAAGAGATTTCTAGAAGGTAGAGTTTGGAGGCTCCTCTGAGGAAACAGACAGCAACAACAATATACATATGTTGTGTGTGTGTGTAAATATGTATAATATATGGACACACACGTATAATTTCAAAGTCAAACTGTCTTGAGGGTATGCTTTAAGCAGAACCATAGGCAAATGAATTGGAAAGGTATTTAAGAATCAGCAGTACCTTTCCATAGTGTCCTGGAATCAACTGCACTGCAGGTGCCAGGCGATCCAAGCTGCCATCCTGACCTCATTAACCCAAGTACACCAGCTCCAGCCTGTGCAGCAGCGGGCGTGGGCAGTCAGGAGAGATCCAGCTGGGATGCTACTGGCCTCTCCACTCAGTTTTGCCTTTTTAAAAAATCTTCCTATATTGCATCTGAATATAGATGCACATGTCCCTCTTATAGCGAATATAAGCATGGCAGAACTCAGTTCATTTTAATTCTACAAATGTCCTTGAGTCCTCGCTATCCCCAAAGCCTTGAGCTGGGTTTTGAGAAAGAGAAGGATATGCTCCTCTCTCTCTACAGACTCACGATATATGGGGAAAGACAAACATATCAACATATTATCATCATATTATCATATTATTGGCATGACTCATGTCAATGTAATTCAATCAGTAAGGCAGTAAGAAATTAGGGATGGAATATAATCAATATGAAGTAAAACAACCGAAAAAGGCCTAATGAAAATGTGAAAGAGGTGAAATTTAAGGTAGACATGAAATAGGAATGGAGGAACGTAGAGAAGTAGACAGGGAGAACATAGGCTAAAATGTGTCTAGACATCCAAGGCCCGTGTTACAACCCTCCAAGATCCTCACAACCTAAGCCTAACACCACATAAAATATTAAACCAAAATGGATCATGTCCTTAAATGTACAACAATATGTAGAATTATAAAACTTCTAGAAAAAAATGATAGAAAATCTTTGCGACGTAAGTGAAGGCAGAGTTCTCAAACATCAAAAGCATAATCCATAAAGGAAAAATTGATAAATTGGGCCTCATCAAAAATAAAAACTTTTGCTCTGCCAAAGTCCCTATTTAAGAGGATAAAAAGATGAGATACAGACTTTGAAAAAACACTTGCAAACCCCATATCTGATAAAGGCTTTGTATCTAGAATATATAAAGAACTCTCAAAAGCCAAAAGTAAAAAGCCAAACAATCCAAATAAAAATATGGGCAAAAGACATGAACAGACATTTCATCACAGAGCACATACAGCTGGCAAATAAACACATGAAAAGATAGTCAACATCGTTAGCCATTAGGGAAATGCAAATTAAAACCACGATGAAATATCACTACACACCTATCAGAATGGCTAAAGTGAAAAACAGTGACAAAACAAAATGCTGACAAGGATGTAGAGAAACTAGATCACTCATACATTGCTGGTAGGAATGCAAAATGGTACAGCCAGTCTGGAAACAATTTGGCAGTTTCTTATAAAACTAAACATGCAACTATCATATGGCCCAGCAATTTCACTATTGGGCATTTATCCCAGAGAAATGAAAACCTATGTTCACGCAAACTCTATGTGGTAATGTTCATAGCAGCTTTATTCATAACAGCCAAAAACTAGAACCAACCCAAAAGTCCTTCAAGAGATGAATGATTAAACAAACTGTGGTACATCCATGCTATGGAATACTATGAAGCAACTAAAAGGAGTGAACTATTGATACACAAAAGGAATGAACTATTGATATCTATCCTTTGGATATATCTCAAGGGAATGATGCAGAGTGAAAAAAGCCAGTCCCAAAAGGTCACATACTCTATGATTCCATTTATATAACGTTCTTGAAATAAAATTAGAGAGATGGAGAATAGATTAGTGGTGCCAAAGACTAGGATGGAGAGAGGGTGATGGATGTAGCTACAAAGGGGGGGTAGAGGGGAGCCTTGTGGTGATGGAACAGTTCTTTATCCTGATTTCCATGGTGGTTACACAAACCTAGACATGTGATAAAATTGCATAGAGCTACACACACACATACATGCGAGTGCACGTGAAACTTGTGAAATCTGAATAAGCTCTTTGAATTGTATCAATGTCAGTTTCTGGTTTTGATATTGTACCAGACTTATGAAGTTCCCACTGGCGGAAACTGAGTGAAGAGTGCATGGGATCACCTGCACATTTTTTTTTTCTTTAGAACTTCCTGTGAATCTGTAATTATTTCAAAGTAAAAAGTTAAAAACAACAAACCTCCAAAGGCAGCTTAGACTAACGGTACTAACACAACAATTGCCTATATTTATTGTTATGGTTCTTCTGGTTGTTCTTTCCATTTGGATCCTTAACCAATTTCATGAGGTCAGTAGCATTGATGTCGCTAGATCTGTTTTAGAGGTGACAAAACAAGTTTGGAAATACTGTTGGTTACATGTGTGAAGTCAGCGGAGGGTGATTTGAACCTAGGTTTTTCCGACACTGATTTCAATACTAATTCGATTGCTTCTGACAGTGATTTAGAAAGTAGGCCATAATTGCGTGGATTTGAAGCCAACCTTCTTACTAGGGTCTTCCCTGTGCATTCTGCCCAAAGTACTCCAACATGGGTCACTAATTTACTACAAAATAAATTAATACCCACACACATATGTGTGCTCATGCACACGCACACACACTCACACACTCAGAATTATTTTCTCCACAAGGATTTTTGCTTCCTTTCATTCAGGGCAGGGAGTGCAAGTGGGAGGCAGGGTGCACCTGGGCCAGGCATTCTTCCTAAGTGATAGACATGAGAAAGAGAAAGCTTTTTTTTGTAGTACACATTTTATTTTATTTTATTATTGAAGTAGCAATGGCCTGTAACATTATATAAATTTCAGGTGTACATCATTGTATTTCGACTTCTATGTAGACTGCGTCATGTTCACCAACAAAAGTCTAGTTGCCATCTGTCACCATACACATGCGCCCCTTTACCCCTTTCACCCTTCTCTCACCCCCCTTCCCCTCTGATAACCACCAATCTGTTCTCTATATCTATGTGTTTGTTTGTTTATCTTCCACATGAGTGAAATCATATGGTATTAGTCTTTCTCCATCTGACTTATCTCACTTAGCATAATACCCTTAAGGTCCACCCATGTTGCCTAAAATGGCAGGATTTCATGAAAGAGAGAAAACTTTACAGCCACGCTGGCAAAAGTCAAATATCTACCTATCTATCTATCAATCAATTGATCGATATAGATATACATGTATATGTGTGCGTGCACTCTGTCTCAGTAATGAAAGTGGTCAGAGCTTAAACAAGAAAGTTGTTTCCACAAAATTATTTTTTATATCATTCCAACGTCAGTGCCCCTCTAAGAATGCAGGCGTCTAAGTGCTCTCCTGCCCCAGACGTGTGGTCCCTTGAGCAGCTGATCAAAGCACTTGTTTTGAGACATTATACACTGAAAGGAGAAAAATCAATTTCAAAGCCCCAAAGGGTAGCTACAAAGACAATGGAGCTTTGTGTGATGAAAAAAATAGAGGAAAGAAGAAAGGAAGAATATCTTAGTAAGAAAGGAATTGTGCTTCTGGTATCTAATACCTTAAAATTAATGTATTCAGAGGACAAAATTATTATATCCTGCCTCCATTCGTGAAAGAGTAGGTTCACTGAGAAGGACAAAGTTGGTTCTTATCTTTTTGAAGGCCCTCTGAAGAGAATTCTATAGCAATTAGTTTAACACTGAAGATGTTCACAAGCCTCTTTGGGAAAAGGCTCATTTGGAAGTCTGTCATGATTACATCGTCCACAGTAAGCCTGCACGTGTTAATTGGCAATCCTCCAGGACCTATTGTAGGGCGTTTCCAGACGAGGCAAAGGGAGTATGGTTGTCTTTAACCCAAAGG